GATCAGGAAATGGGCTTCCCTTTTCACTCTTCTTCCTGAGAAATTTCAAGATACCACTGTTGCTCATTTTGACATAACTTAGGATTTAATTTTCATCCTATTTCCTCTTTTGTCTTCTTGTCTCGCTCCACAATCCCGGTTCAGGCCTTTGTTCTAGTTGGAAACAGTTCCGGGCTGGCTGTGGCCGTTTGGTTTTAATTGGAAACAGTCTCTTTAAATTTTGAGGAGATCTGTGTGCATGCGTAGTATAACCCTCCGAGGGTGGGGCTGGGGTGCCCACTAGCTCAGACACCCCTATAATCACCAGAATGGAGGTGTGCAGACAGCAAGGGACCAATGAACCAAAAGAATGTCCACACTTTTATCTCTGCAGTTCTTCCAGGTGTCTGTGGCCACTCTGATCCTTCCCCAGCTTGGTCTTACCCAAGATGGCAGCTCCTGGACCAGCCGAGCATCCCGGACTAGAAAGCAATAGATTTCTTGCTTCTGCCAAAAATTCTCCCACCTGTAAGCCTTCCAACCTTCTAAATATTCTTTTATATGTGGTTCAGAGTTCTGGGACCATTCTCTGAGCCTGCTTGGTTGGGTATTCTGTGTTGTTGTTGGCGGAGCTCTTTGCTACACGTCCACCCAATCTGCCGTCTTGTTTGTTCTCTGAGGCTGTAAATCTTTATGGGAGCAGAAAGCCTCATCTTTCTCCCATGGAACAGCTGGTAGTTTAGAACTGCTAACATGAGATTAACAACCGGATTCATAACCACTTTGCTACCAGAGCTCCTTTGGGTAAAGTTAAATTCTTTTTTGTACAAGTATATATTTGAACAAACAAACAAATCCCAAAACTTTCTGCAATGAAAGTGAGCAAAATCAACAAAAGCAAAAACAGATATATCATTGTGAGAAATAGCTGTTGGTGTAATCTAGCTTCAGAATCAAGGATATCTTGGGGGTAGCAGGTTAGCATGACAAAAGGGAACTCTGAGAAGAGGAATAAATTAGTTTGACCAACTAGACTCTTTTAAAATAAGAATACACCCATCAAGGAAGTAGGGGAAGTTCAAGGGGAGGGAGTGAAACTAACTTTAAATGAGAATGCTCCCTGTATGGACTAGTAAGTGATGTTTGGGAAAGATTTTAAACTCCAAAGTACCAGGTAAAGGGGAAATGGAGGAGGGGATTTTTCAGAGTTAGGTTAATAAAACTTTTGTCAAATGGCTGTGTGGCTTGTCTGCCTGTGTCTATGGGGCTAGGTGCCCGATTTTGCAAAATCAAATAAAGAAAACCTCACTCTCGTTAAAATGAGTACAGATTGGATTACTTGAGCATTTGTCAGTATAGACAATGTTTCTCACATCAGGAAACAGAAGAGAATTAAAAAAAAAATCGTAAAATATATATTAACTGTCCAAAATATGTCAGGTATTATTCTAATAGTTGCTAAGGATATAGCAATGATAGTGCCTTCAGAAGTTTGAGTGAAAATGATTTTCAATTATACTCAGGTAAACTATAATTCATCAGTAAATTAAATAAGACTTGTTAAGTGCCGTCGAGTCAATTCCCACCCATAGCAACCCTGTATAGGGTTTCCAAGGAGCAGCTGGTGAGCTTGAACCACTGACCTTGAAGTTCAAATGACTTTACAGTCTGACTCATTAACCCACAGCACCATCCCAGGACTAGACTACAGCACAATGAGGATGGAGATGAACAGGGAAGAAGACTAAGATCCAGGGTTGCATCTGTGAAAATTTTAGTATGACGAATATGAAGTAAATCTGAGAAACTGACTGGATTGCAGCAGTAAAGCAGATGACTAGCAGATAGGTCTTTGGAATAATAGAGATTTCTAGAAGTTCTAATCTAGTGAACCTTAAAAAAATATGATGATTAAAAAATGCATTGCATGATGAAAAAATACAATGAGAAACTCCAGGCAATCTGTACAGGAAAGGAATTATAATTAGTGGAATACTGGGGTGGCACTGTAGAATAAACACTGGACTCTTAATCACAAGACTGGCAGTTCATACCCACCAACTGTGCCCTCAAAACCCTATACAGGGTGGCTACATGTCAGAACTGACTCAATGGCACTGAATAACAACAACAATATTCTTGATTTCACAAATTCATAATGTGAAGTCAGCTTGGTTGAAGACTTTCTTTCTCCATTAGACCTAAGGGAACCTTGAGCTAAACCATATAAGAAAACTATACATAAAGAAGAAGAAAAAACAGAGGTTCACTAAAGCAAGCCTGTTCCTTACAGTAGAGATCCTTAGTGTTTCTCCTTGAAAACAGACTCTTTGACATTCCAAATTTACCATAAAAACAGCTAACTTATAAGGTAAGACCCTGCCCTGTTTTCTCTCTTAATCTTGTTACAAATACTCTTCAAACCACACTCCAGAGGCAGTTCTGCTTGATTAGAGACTGTATGCTGTAAGAACCACCTTGTCCTCTGACTGACCCTGGATCATCCCAGAAATCCAGGCACTGGGAGCCGTTTTATAAACATGGGTTTGACAGTGACTTCCTGGTCAAGTCCTAACCTCTTGAATAACGCATGCCCCGTTTCCCTGAAAGTTAAAAATCTCTCTGAATCATTTGTTCAGGAAGACTGCTTTGAGGATGATCTCCCTGTGTCCTAACTTGTTACAGGTAATAAACTTTGCTGTGCTTTAATCAGAAAGATTCTAAATGATTCCCAAAAGAACAGGTGATGAACTCTGAGTTCAGGAACAAAAATAAACAGAAGTTAACAATTATTGCAAATACTTTGTTATAACTGTGTTATAACATTAGCTAGAGTAGTTAGAAGGTGGTATAACAGATGTCTACCACTCGCTGTTAATTTATCATATTGTGGTGGCTGGTGTGTTGCTGTGATGTTGGAAGCTATGTCATTGGTATCTCAGCAGGGTGCATCCATGGTGGACAGATTTCAGATGAGCTTCCAGATTAAGTCAGACTAGGAAAAAGGAGAGACAAACTACCTATGAACATTTAGTTACTGAAAATACATGAATAGCAGTGAAACACTGTCAGCATCAGAATATTGAATATTGAAATACTTAACTGTGCTGGTGAGGAACCTATACATAAACCAAGAGGCAGTTGTTCAAACAAACAATGGGACACTGAATGGTCTAAAGTCAGGAAAAGTGATCACCACCATTGCATTCTTTCACTATACTTATTCAATCTGAACACTGGGCAAGTAATCCGAGAAGCTGGATTATTGAAAAAGAATGTGGCATCAGGATTGCAGGAAGACTAATTAACAACCTGCAACATGTAGATAATACAGCCTTACTTCTGAAATGGGAGAGGACTTAAAATACTAACTGATGAGGATCAAATATGACAGCCTTCTTTTGGGGTTGCACCTCAATGTAAAGAAATATTAGCAGTAGATAGTGACAAAACCAAATCAAGGAGGCTGACTTAAAGAAAAGAGGCCAAGCTTTCTGGAGAGGTGAATTTATAGGCAAGAAAATCAAGGACTGAACCTGAGGGAAAATATTCTTAATGGATAAGCAAATTGGATGGGGCTCGTCCATTTATTCACAGTATGTTTTGTTGTGTGCCGTTGAGTTGGTTCCTATTCAGAGAGTCCCTGTATAGAGAGGATTTTTGAAGCTGTAAATCTTTATGGCAGTAGAAACCCTCATGTTTTCCTGTGGAGTGATTGGTGGATTTGAACCTCCAATCCTGTGGTTAACAGCCCAAAGCATAACCCACAATGCCCCCAGGACTCTACACAGTATTGTTATTGTTGTTAAGTGCTGTGGAGTCGATTCCGTCCCATAGTGACCCTGAATAGGGTTTTCAAGGAGCAGCTGGTGAGCTTGAGCCACCAATCTTGCAGTTCAAATGACTTTGCAGTCTGACGCACAAGAATTATTCTAGCATCATGAAGTATTGCATTGTGAAACACGTTTTTCCTGGTCAGGAGCAGGACAGGACACCAGATTGCCTAGGAGCAAATTCTCTTCCTGGGAGAACATGGGAAAGGTAAAGTGACTTATAAAACAGACTGTAATTAAATTCTCAAGTGAATAATACAGGTAGCATGATTTACAGTAATCAGCAGGAGTAGATTATGTTACTACTTTATAGGATAGCTTCATTGGGAAAGCTGTACAACATTGACCAGTTTCTGTTGAATTGATGCCAACTCATTGTGACTCCGTGCATGTCAGAGTAGAAATGTGCTCCATAGGTTTTTCAGGGACTGATATTTTGAAAGTAATTTGTCAAGCCTTTTTTTCAAGGTGCCATTGGGTAGATTCAGTCAATCTTTCATTTACTTTCTAGGTATTAACCATTTGCACCATCCAGGGACAAGAATTTAGAAGTGTTGAAAAACTGATAGGATTTTGATAACATAAGCCATTCCATTCTATGCATCCCATCCCTTCCCATTCCATCGAATCCTATCATATCACATCACATATAAACTGAAAACCAAACCCATTGCCTTTGAGTCAGTTCCAGCTAACAGGGACCCTATTGGGCAGAGTAGAATCACCCAATAGGGATTTCAGGGCTGTAAATCTTTATCCATATTATGAGGTAGTTGTTGCTGTTGTTGTTATGTGCTGTGGAGTCGGTTTCCAAGGCTGTAAATCTTTACGGGAGCAGAACGCCTCATCTTTCTCCCACAGAGCAGCTGGTAGTTTCGAACTGCTGGCCTTGAGGTCCACAGCCCGATTCGTAACCACTACGCTACCAGAGCTCCTTTATGAGTAATTAGCCTGATTCAAATAACAGTATTTTGTATATGTTAATTATGGGAGACATTTTAGTTTAGAGAACAGTGAAGATTTTCTAATTCATACACAGACATCTCTGCTCTTTTCCACATCTTTCTTCTTTGGAGTGATTGGTGGGTACAAACTGCTGACATTCGAGTTAGCAGCTGAATACATAACTACTGTGCCACCAGAACTCCTTGTTGTTGTTGTTAAGTGCCATCGAGTCGGTTCCTACCCATAGTGACCCTGTGTAGGGTTTCCGAGGAGCAGCTGGTGAGCCTGAACTGCTGACCTTGTGGTTCAAATAACTTTGCAGTTTGATGCATTAACCTACAGCACCGCACCAGAAGTCCACCAGAACTCCTTAGCATAACATAAACCATAGGTAAAATATACTGAGTGCTTATTATGTCAAGGTACCAAGGAGGCACGATCTTCAGATTGGCATCTATTTTACAGGAAAGGAAACTGACCCCTAGAGAAGTTACATGACTTGTTAAGAATAATAAACCTAAGCAGAGAGCTAGAGTTTAAACTAACATTACAGTGGTAAAGAAACGGCTTTGGTTAATGTAGCAAATTGTCTTTTTTACAAATAGCATATAATCCCACAGAACAAACTGTATTGAGAAGAAAAGGAAACAAAAATAAGAGACAAATCTCAACCTTTTTCTGTTGATAAGGAAAGACTTTGATTAAGGGATGGAGTGCAGACTAGTTGGATGCCTGTTACTGTAATAATTCTGAGGAATTTGGAGGATATTCAGAGTGGTTTAATAATCACATACTCATTGGGAAATGGCATGTGGAAAATGGCTGTCCTCAGTACTTTTCTCTGAAGACCGGGAATGAAGAAAACTCTGCCTCCCCAAATTTAGCAATGTATGCATCTTTTGTGCTTCAGTTAATTGCTTTTCCACTACCACCACCATTAGTATGATTAGTCTGCACATTATGAGGTAATTAACCTGATTAAAATCCTCAGTATTTCATATATGCTAATTATGGGAGGCATTTTAGTTTAGAGAACAGTGACAATTTCTTTCTAATTCATGCACAAACATCTCTGCCCTTTTCCACACCCAGCAACTTGGTGTGGTACTGCAGGATAATGCGCTGGACTGCAAGGTCGGTGGTTCAAACCTACCGTTTGCTCCTTGGAAACCCTATACAGGGTTGTTATGAGTCAGAACAACTCGATGGCACTTAACAACAACAGCAACAATAGTATTAGATTCTTGAAAATTGCAATCTTCTATGTGGTAAAAAGGGAAAGATTCTAGGGCTGGAACACAATAGTGGTGGTTATGTGCGGTGGCGTTGTTTCTGACTCAGCAACCCTGTGTTACATTTCCGAGGCTGTAAATCTTTATGAGAGCAGAAAGGAGAACAGAATATTGGAGCAATATTTAGAGATAAATATTGAAAAGTTCATTATTGATTATTATCTCTGTCCACTCACATCTTCTTCAGTAAAAGCTGGGAATGATTTTTAAAAGTTTCAATTAGATGCTTGGAAATACACAGCTTATCTAGATACATAAAACAAAACTCATAGCGGTTCAGCATTATTGTTAAGGCAATCCACAATTTTCATGTTTTTAGGCCTTCTGAATGTTAAAAAAAAAAGTTTTCTGTAGAATTCATTTTCTACAAGAAGATGCTTAAAAATAGATTAGTGGTCTATACTAAAAATAATGTTTAAGATGATTCATAGCCACAAAGCAATAAAGGTCTACTGATTTACTTGATTAATCTTTTTGCAGAAAGAAATCACTTATAATTTATTTCTGATTTTAAGTCCTTTGCACAACCACTGCAAAGAATTTAGAGTACAAAAAAGCCAAAGATAAAAATAACCCGTTACAGATACCACCCCTGTTAGGATTTGATGAATGTGTGACTGTCATACCCATTTTCTCTCTTTGCTTATCTCCTTTCTTCTTGCCTGAATAGTTGTCTTGTCATCTTGAGATGACAAGCATGAGGACAAAAGCCAGTATTGTAAATATGGTGGAGTGGAAAGACAAACAATCCAGGTTCTGAATTGCCTATCCCCAGAACCCCAGTTACTGGTCAGAGTTATGTTAAAAAAAACAAAAAAACTTTTCACCCCAAATAAGGAGCGCTGGTAGCATAATGGATGATGAGCTGGACTGCTAACCACAAAGTAAGCAGTTCAAATCTACCAGCGGGTCCACAGGAGAAAGATGAGATTTTCTGGTCCTGTAAAGATTTACAGCCTCGGAAATCCTATATAGGGTTGCTATGATTCAGAACTGATTTGGTGGCACACAACCACCACCACCACCAATAACCCTAAATCAGAATACATATCCCAATGACCCCAATTTAAACTTTAGCTGGTTTCTAAGTTGTTGGGTGAGTCACGTAAATCCCTTATTTATTTAACCAACTGTTAGTTGGATTTTTTCCTATTGCAGTTCATGAAGGCATTCATTCCCATTAGACACTGTGGCATAATGAATTATCTAATATCTCTTCTACTATGTTTCTGCTTTGTTGAGTCTAGGTAAAACAATGTGGGAGAAGATACAGTTAGGGTGACATGATTCATCTGTGGATGTTATTGCAGAGTTAATTATAATTTTAAAACTTTAAACTCTAGCTGAGTAATAAAATGAACCATCTTAGAAACTGAGGTGGCAGGGGGAAGAATCTCATTATCATCAAGAAGAAAGAGCCAGGAGTGGAACACATCCTTTGGACCTTGAGATCCATGGGCTTTGGACCTCCTCAACCCAGTGACAGAAAGCTGTGACACTGAGGAGTGGCAGAGGTGCTCAGCAGCACAGAACCAAGAACAGAGTAGTAGGCTTCCCAGCCCATGGGACAAGCACAGCTGAGTGACTTTGGGTAGCTTGCTTGTAGAGTGGGTGCCTCCAGGTACTTTAGTAGGGAAGCTGGGTTTGCTAGGTTTCCGTGGGGAGCTAGAGTCTAATGCCTTCAGACTGAGGCTTATGATGAAGTGGTGGGTACCGTGGACATGTTTCAGCAGCTGACTGAAACAATTGTGCCCTGAGCCTTTTCTGAATCTATACTGTAACCTGTTAACTTCTCTAATAAATCACCTAACTGTGAGGATTGTCTCTGAGTTCTGCATGGCCATTGAAATGGATCATCGAACCCAGTAGTGAAGCTGAGAGTGTTGTGGGAGGTATAGTTTCTTGTCATATTTTTTTAAGATACTAAATCTCATGTTCATATTTCCCAGAAGATTAGTTAACTGCTCTCAAACAATTTATTGAATAATCTGTATATCCTTCTGATCTTTAATGCATTTTTATTAAGTACTAATTCCTACATGTGGGTTAATGCACCAGACTGCTAAAGCTGTTTGAACTGCAAGGTCGGCGGTTCAAGCTCACCAGCTGCTCCTTGGAAACCCTATAGAGCGTCACTATGGGTTGGAACAGACTCCATGGCACTTAACAACAACAAAAACTCCTACATGGAGTCCTAGTGTGGTGCTGAGTGGTGCATTGGACTGCGAGGTTGGTCTGAACTGCAAGATTGGCAGTTCAAATTCATTAGCTGCTCCTTGGAAACCCTATACAAGGTCACTGTGAGTCAAAACCGACTCAAAGGCATTTAACAACCAACCAACAATAATTCCTATGTACACAAGGGCCTGTTCCAAATGTATCAATCATTCTTTTCTTTCATCTTCAGTACCATGCCACTACTACATTGTTTTAATTGTTGCAATACTGGTATTTTCTTCTTCCCTTTTCTTTAGCCCTTTGGTTTTTGTGGTTATGTCCTTGGGTTTTTATTTGTTTGTTACTGTGACATTATTGGTTTTATAAGCTCTTTTTCACAAAGTCCAGTTTTTAAATAGTTTTCTTAAGATAATGAAGTAGTTTAGTGCTAGGCCGTGTAAGCGTTGTCAAGAATACATCTATCCTGACGTGGCACCTCTGCGGTCTTCAAGGATCTTGCACCAGCTGAGAAAAGCTGATCCAGAGCCAAGAGAGACTGTCCTCTCAAAGGCGTACGGGTTCATGGTTCTAACTGGTGCTGATAATAACTTAGCAATGTTAGCTCATCTAGCCATCAATGTTGCCAAGGCCCACATGGTGGAGTATCCTATCACATATAGCACGGACCCAGAAAACGGGCAGCTCTTCAAATGCATTCAGCGAGGCCACCAGAACACATTGGAACTGTATCCTCCTTTCTTATTTTTTCTAGCTGTTGGAGGTATTTACCACCCGTGTACAGTTTCTGGCTTAGGCTTGGCTTGGATTGTTGGACGAGTTTTTTATGCTTATGGCTGTTACACAGGAGAACCCAACAAGCTGAATCAAGGAGCCCTGGGGTCCGATGTCCTCATTGGCTTTATGGGTACAACTGTGTGCTCTGCTTCCCAGCAACTCAGGGAGGTTAAAACTGGTTTGGGTGATGGATCCAAATGCTGCCATTAAAGAATTGTTGTTGTTATTGTTAAGTGCCGTTGAGTTGGTTCTGACTCACAGTGACCCTATATAGGGTTTCCAAGGAGCGTTTGGTGAATTTGAACCCCTGACCTTGTGGTCCAGTGCATTATCCCACAGCGCCACACCAGAATTATAGGGATGTAAAACTCATTCGTTTTGAATGACTTACCTTAATTTCCAGTTATACTTTTTTCTAAAAGTAATAAAACCTATCTGACATCAGCCTCATACCTAAACCTTCTTTTCGCTTTTTTTTTTTTGAGTCCCAATCTAAAATAATTGTCCCTACTAGATGAGAGAAAAGACTCAAGTACTGAGTACTCCTCACGCTGCTGGGTGCATTCTTAATATTTGGAGTTGAGAAAAAAGTCTTAATTGTGATAATATGTTCAAAATTATGCCATAATGGTAAGAAATTTGGATTCAAATTTATAGTTGTAGTTAGGATATTGGAACATGGTGGTTCTGTAGAATAAGCATAGGACTGCTAACCAGAAGTTTGATGGTTTGAGCCCACCAGCTACTTCTCAGGAGAAAGATGAGGCTTTCTACTCCTGCAAAGATTTATAGTCTTGGAAACCCTATGTAGGGTCTCTATGACTCAGAACCAATTTGATGGCACTTAAGAACATAATATAAGATTATCTTATCATTTGATACAAATATTTAGAATATTAGGAGTTTAAAAAATTTCTATAGATTAGAGAAGTAGACTAAATTTAAGATGACATTTATGAATGAATGTAACTCTCTTTATAAGGCTATGTGGATCTAACTGCATAGATAAAAATGGAGCAAGAAGTTCTTAGCAACAAATGTGAGAGACTTAGAGATCAATGCAAGTTACAGGTGAGATATCTGCTCCAAAAACTAATGTGGCCTTTAACTATTATTAATGGAAGTATAGTATCTAGACCTACATGATCTGGACAATAGATGTTAGCTAAATGTAGTTAAGTTTAAGGTAATGAAATTTACATTAAAAAAAAAAATCAATTTTTCAGTCACACGTTTAAAGTAGACTCTAAGGCTGGAGCCCAGGTGCGGTGCTGTAGGACCAACACTGGACTGCTAACTATCAGCAGCTCCTTGGATACATTATGCAAGTGTCATTATGAGTCAGATGTGACTCAAATTAACAACATAAAGGATTGTTAGTTGCTGTTAAGTGCTGTTGAGTAGATTCCAACCCACAGCAACCCTGTATAGGGTTTCCAAGGAGTGACTGGTGAGCTTGAACTGCTGACCTTGCGGTTCAAATTGACTTTGCAGTCCAGTGCTTTAACCCATAGAGTCACACTAAGAAGCCACATAAGGATTAGAGAGAGAATTTTCACCCAAATTTGACTCCAAAATCTCAGCTTTTTCCATTGTACTACTCTGCATAAGGGAGAGGACGCATTTTCAGACAGATGTTATTTTCTGCCACTGAAGAAGGGCAACTTTGGCCAGATGACTAATGGGGCTCTTAGGCATCTGATGAGAAAATCAGATTAGAGTGTTTATGAGCAATTTCAAGGAGCTCTGGTAGCGTAATGGTTAAGAATCGGGCTGCTAATCTTAGGGTCAGCAGTTCGAATCTACCAGCTGTTCCGTGGGAGAAAGATGAGGCTTTCTGCTCCCATAAAGATTTACAGCCTCGGAAACCCTATGTAGGGTCACTATGAGTCGGAAACGACTCCAGGGCACATAACAACAACAATATGAGCAATTTCACTAGTATAGAAGAAGTATAGAAAATCGAGGACTTTTCACAAAAATATTTTGACTGTCTAATATTAGTGTGTTGCTTTAAAAAAAATGTTTTATTGTGAATTATGTGATAGTTTACATGCGAGAACATTAGCTTTACATTCATCCTATCGTATATCATTTCATTGCCATGGTTACAATCCCTTCCATGCATCATCAACCAACCAAAGGGTATACCCTACAAGCCTGCCCCCTGGTCATCAGCACACAGCCCCTCTCCCTCTCTAGGCCTAGAGTCTCCAGCTGCTCCGTCTTTCTACATCATTTTCTCTGCCTCCATCTCTGGTGTCACTGTTTCTCTGGGTAGGGTCCCGCACTCCGCTCTTCTCCCTTGATGGTCCTGGGGACCTTTGCTCCTGGACTGCAAAGTCAATCACTCCCCTCCTTTTGCTACGAAACATTCACCTTTACATATCCAACCCTCACAGTCAGTCCTGATAGCAATTATTCACTATTGTGCCACAAGAGTGCTATCCCCATCTCCTTTCATCACCCCCACCCAAACAGATTGGATACTACTCAGTGGAGATTCTACCCTCCTCTGTGCCCTCTGGATATAGCTGCCTCTTGAAAGCTTGTAAGCCAGTCATTTCTTGCCTTGGTAGCTCCCCCATTTTGTGTAGCCAATGTCCAAGTTGCCTATTTCTGTCTACCCTGTGTATTGAGGGGGTGGGGATAATCCTGGCTGTAAAGATTTGTTCCTTCTTTTGAGCTACCGCATAGATCTGTGTAGGTCAAGTTCACCAAATTGTTTCAGATTACATTTTTTTTTAGGTTTTTATTGTGGATTGAGTGAAAATTTACAGGGCAGATCATCAGTTTTACATTCAACAGATCACACACCTTGTTTCATTACAATGATTATAATCCTCTCCATGTACCACCAGTTAACAGTATTTTTCATTATCCACTTTAGCTTTTTAAGAAAACAACAACAACAAAAAACAACACTCAGGCATATATAATAATTTACATCTCCAAAGGGCACATTCTGTATGTCTGCCTCCTGGTCACCAGCTCTTAGTTCCTCTCTTCCCATGAATCTACAGTCCTCAGCCGCTCTCCCTCTCCATGTCCCCATCTCGGCCTCCGTCTGTGGTTTCCCTGCTTCCCTGGATAAAGTCCTGCATTCTACTTATGCTCTTCTCCCTTGATAGTCCTAGGGTCCTCTGTTTCTGGACTGTAAGATTAACCACTCCCCTATTTTTATTATAAAACTTCTACCTTTACAATTGTGACAGTTGCAATTAGTCATGATAACAATTATTCACTATTGAATCATACGAATCTTATCCCCATCTCTTTTCACCAGACCCATCTAGACAAGATGAAATCTATTAAGTGGGGACTTTTTCTTTCCGCCCCCATACTTTTAAACTAAACTTCCTCTTGAAACCTTGTAAGCCAGTCACTTCATGCCTTTATTGTCCCCTCATTTTAGGTACCCAGTGTCTAAGGTGCCAATCCCTATCTACCCTGGGTACAGAGGGGATAGCATTGATACTTGATGTGAAGACTCCTTCCCTCTCTGTTGGTATTTAGAGTAACTATATCTCTGGTAGCGTAGTGGTTACGAATCGGGCTGCGAACCTTAAGGTCAGCGGTTCGAAACTATCAGCCGCTCCGCGGGAGAAAGATGAGGCTTTCTACTCCCGTAAAGATTTACACCCTCGGAAACCCTGTACAGGGTCGCTAT